AAGATACAAACTTTAGAATGCTGCTGTTAATCAGAATTCATCTACAACAAAGCTACGGGTTTTCAAAAGCAGGTTCTCCTTTGAAAACCTTTAAACATGAAAGGTAGTCTGTTAATAAAGAGGAAGAGAGAAATTATTCTCAGCTTCCTCTTTCTGCTGTTTCAGGAAGACCTCCTCTTGTTCTCACCAGGTAAGCCTGATGCAACCGGATGGTGCAACTGGCGCTGTCTCCTCCTCACCCTGGCAATGCTCCTGCTCATTCCACCACTTTCACCCACTCGGAATAGCACCAAAAGGGCAGCTTTCACTCTTCCCAGCTTTTTGCCCTGTGCACTTAGGTGCTGTCCCATTCCCAAAATTGCTCTCTAAAGTTTCTAAACTTTCCTAACTTTTGTAACACTCAGATCATCCCTAATCTCTATAAAAATACAGCTTGCTATGATTATCTTCCTATGCCTCTAAGTCACCAGTTCTACTAAATCCTTTCATCTACTTAGTCATCTTTTTTCCTGGGCAGTAATAATCTAGTCCTCAGCTTCAATGCTCTTTGCATATTTCTCCCACCTCTCCAGTCTCCCTTCCCCTCCACCAGATCCTTTGTTTTAATAGCTTCTACCATAGTCACTCTGCAAGCACCATATACAACCATTACCTATTAGTTGATCATGTGAGCAGCATATAGACAGAACTAATGCATTGCCAAGCTGAGAATTTATAGGCTTACCTGCCTTGATGTCACATGTCTCTGCTTGTCTGACAGTCAAGAGACATGGAGCAAGGCTGCTTCCCATTATTCCTTGGAACAGGCTGATATTCAGTATTTTTTCTAATTGCTATCTTTTAACTCTCAAAAAAAAATCTTTCCCCCTCATGCCTCAATTTGAGCTTCTCATCTCTGTGAGTTGTTATTACTATCTTTGAAAAAACAAAAATATTGTAATTGTTACATGGCTTTATGAGATGTACTCTCAGCTCAACAACTTTTTCAACAAATCTAAGCAAAGGACTTGGATCTGTGCTTCACAACTGAGCCTTGGACAGCTGAACCCTGGACTAGGATTTACACCTACCTACATGCACTTTTCAACTGCCCACCTCTGCTTTGCTCAGGTTATCAGCCTTCAAGCATTTGCCCACCCTTCCCTCAAACCCCTCCCTTACATTTAAGGTATGCTTGATTCTAAATCATTATCACCACTACCATTCCCTCCCTCCAAACAGATCCCTTCGCCTGGGTATTCTACCAGAGCAAACTAGCTTCAGCAAGAGACACGTTTTTAGTTCTTGACTGAGCAACTTGCAGATTTACAGTTGATCTACAAACATTTTTATACAACTCATTCTGCAAAGACTAGGCAGTACTCCTCAAAATGCTAACCATAAGCCAAGGTCTGAAACAGCTAACTGATCATGTTTGTAACTTGTTATTAAGAATTTGGCTGAGGATGTTCTAAGCACACACTGACAGATTGAGACACACCATCTTCTCTGCTACCATTTGTTATCCCTGTTTAGGGAACAATCAAAGCCTACTTGAAAACAAAATGAAACTATGAAATCTCACATGGACATCTCCTGGTCTGCACCTAAAGGTCCTCCTCACTCAGTACCACAAACGTCTTACCATCAACGTTACAGGGGAACCGCAAGTTCCCTGTTTATTTGTTAATCATCTTCAGATTATTTAATGCCTGCATAGCATTGTGTTAGCCTGTAACAGCATCTCCTCGATAAAAGCATAGTTCCCTATTTATCGCTAAGTATTACAGCCCAGTACCTATTTCTAAAGCTTAAAACTATACCCACAAATGAATCCATTTGATGTCCTCTGAAACTAATCCCCCCTCCAAAACAATAAAAGAATTCTGCCAGGAAGAAATCTCACAATTTCCAACATCACCACCCCCAAAGAATGGGAATTCTGTAACAGATGCAGTGTTACAGTTACTGAGAGCGTTTGCTCCCTTCTACTCACCATTTTCCTTGTTTATACTCTCGGACTTTAGTTGAGCAAGACCACACATCAGACACATTTTCCTGGTCCATTCAAATTTCCAGAGTCTCTGTTCAGTTTAATGTGTCCTGTCTTCATCCACACGACAGTTCCTGCCATCATCTCATTGTAACTTTAAAGCTTAGCCTCTTACAGCTGAGAACAAAATAAGTTTCTCTTTAATTCAATCAAAGCCAAAGAAATAAGCAATTCATAAGTAAGATATTAGAAAAAACTTTTCCGAGGAAGCATTTTTCCTCGAAGAACACAACAATCTTGATAAATATTCTCAGTTTAGGGAAACAAGCATGGTTATCTTTTCTGTTCTCCAGTAAAATCACTAGCTAGAATTCTGCCAGATTCACCATGCAATTCTGTTAATATAAAATGGGAATAAGCAGGAAAGCTGGGAGGACAACAGGGCTGTTGTTTCCACAGCAGTGCTGGCTTTCTACTGGTCTGAAGTACTCAGTTACAGCCACACGCTCAAACACATGATATGAACCATTGCAAGAGACAGGCTACTAGCCTGGGCTGACAATTGACCTGATTCAATAAAACGATTTGTTTTGTTAGTTAAATCAAAGCTGAAGCTCTGACAGATTTAAAAAAAACCCTGGGCAAAATCTTGGTTCTGCTTAAGTCAATAAAGGTTTTTCTATTCCCTGCAGATAGGACTTCTCACAATGTCATCCAGCTCTGAGAAAACTATTGTGTCATAAATGCACAAATAATGTAGTTACTATTAAGGACTGTATGAGAACTGTCTTTAGTAGTTTGGTTTATATTTTATCTAACCATAGCCACATATATCTGTGCTAAAACATTTACCACTTCTCTCCTACCAAAAGACTGAAAGTTTTTTCCCCTCTCTCACCTTATTCTATAGTCTTTTAAATCACATCTCTCAGGATTACAGTAACAGATGGCACCTGCAACAGGACTGAAATTTAATTACTAAAAAATAAAATTTAAAAAAAAAATCACATATAAGCTTATATGAATCTTTAAACAAAGAGAGACTCAAAGAATGAAGTTTATAGCAGATGCTCCCAGTGCAAAACAGCACCAGCAATGCCAAAAAGGAATTTTAATGAAGAAATTAATACAATACTACAACAGTTACTCATTGACACACATTTTACGAGACAATAGAGAAACAGATAAGGTAAAACAAAAACATACAATACTTGGAAATTTGTTTTCCATTGTTAAATACTTGTTAAAAATCTGTCAATGAAATCAGCAGTGCAGATAAATAAAAGGCTTAAAATAAATTAGGTTTCAGTTACAGAATATGTCAAAACGCATAGTTCTCAGCAGCAGTAGCCAGATAAACTCTACACCAGCTGAGGAAAACTATGACAATAAACCACTGTTAGCCCCTGTTCTCCAAGGCAGATAACTATCCCTGAAAGACCCCCGTCTAGAAAGATGAAAGACAAGAAAGTCACAGCTGTAACCGCAGGCAAAAATTGTTGCTGTTGCTTACAGCATTATTCAAAGGTCCATTATTCACAGGGCCATGTCTGCATGACTGTCTAAAGCAGAACCTGACCTCACTGATAGTGTTTTACCCAAACAGAGCTCTCCAAAATTGTTATTTTATCTAATACTTATGATTACGGAAATAGGAGTGCTCTTAATTCCTGGCTGTCAGGATAAGTCACAAATCTTCCCGTCACTGCATGGGAGTATATCATATACAGTATAAACAATACACACATAAACAAAGAATATGTCACACACAAACCAGCATCAGAATGTCCTATCCAGTGGAAATCTGTAAACATTACAGAAAGATCAGATTACTTCCAATTTATACAAGGATAATTTAGACTTCATTTACAATTACTTGTAAAGTAGTAGCAATATAAAAGAATCTTAATATTTACTGCCAAAGGAACACCAAGGTCCCTTCGGTGAGGCAAGGAATGATAGAAGAGAGCACTGACATCTGATAGGCTATTAAAGGATCCAACCTAACCTCTGGTGGAATTGCAAATTATGCATTTCAAAGCCTGACTTACGGAGTCAGATCACAGTGTACCATTCCAGACACTTTTCGCCCAGTCCCACACTTGTATGTATCCTTTTACAGTTGACCCACCGAGAGCAAAAATGTTTAGGATTTGTATGGATTTCAACCCCATAATTTACTATGAAGCCTAAAGATAACACAAAACCAGCCCTGTTTTTAGACAGTAATTAATCCACTTTGAAGATGATGGAGCAACAGGAATATTTGTGCATGTCTTCAGAGAAGTGTCTGGTCAAAAGACCGTAAGATTCTATTTAAAGTCTTCTGTAGAGTCCTAAAAGGCTCTGGATCTGGCCATTATATCCCTTCAGAAAACAGCACCACCACACTTTCAATCTGTAAATCATGTATCCAAGCATGACTCTAAGTTAAATTCCATGTTTACTCTATATAGACCATGCCTCTAGCATCTGCACACTTTTGTACAGAACTTCAGCCTCTACATTTTTCAGCAGAAGAATGCAGTTTACAGGGCATTTAAATTTGTACTCAAGAATCAACCTGTAAAAACAGTACATTAATTATGCATGCACTATTAATTTGTAACATGTTTCCTGTTAACAAAATGTCAACATGCATGCAATGTTTAAATCTTAACCTCTTCAGAGTCAAATTCTGGCTGGCTCTTTCATATACATTTTTTCCCCAAAAATAGAATTGCATCTCAGCCTGTATTTTTCCCGAACTCAGATCTGAAGCTCCTCTGTCCTCAGAGCTGCAGAGAGCAGATCTTACAATGTTAGACCCATGACAGATTTCAAAGCTGTCCAAAAAAAGTGTGCAGTCTCTCCATAGCTCCTGTCTTCTGGTTTTCACCTGTGTACAGTCCAGCAGTGTGCCAGCATCCAGACACAAAATAAGCAGAGCAAGCAACAGTTGTCTGGTTTACATAAACAGAGGCCAAACAAGTCCTACATTACCTTAGAAAGAAACTTTTTTTTTTTCCCTAGGAGTCACATAATAATGTTGTTTTCCAAACTCCTCATCCTTATAAAACATTACGTTCTCTCAACCGTTATCCCAACATCATCATAATCTACAAAATATTTTTCACCTCATTTCAGCATGCAAAGTAGAAAAGTATTTTAAATGGCTTATTGAAAGTTATAACATAAAGAGAATGCTTTTTCCATTCTCAAAGCCTTTGTAATGCTACTGTCCATTTCCTAATGCAGAATGCACAGTAAACTCAGAGCTGAATAAGCCAAGGTGCCTTTTCAAGTTCCTTTTTGAAGCTGGCTGATCACAGAACTTGACTTCAATGTTGCCATCGCTGAATGCCTCCCTCCTCGCTTCATCCGAGTCAGTGGGATCTCTTTGAGAAACACATGCCTTTTGCCGCCTCATAGTAATCCCCAAGTTCCCAAGTTGCCTGGTCGGTGATGCATTTTCTTTGACAATGCAAAAGCAGATAGCAGACAAAAAATTTTTCTTGAAGTTTTCATTCATGAAGGCATACACAATCGGGTTGCAAATAGAATTGAAGAATCCTATAACCTGGACAATTGCAAAGATCATTTTGACTGTCACATCATCATACTCCTTTTCAAAATTACCTGGAAAGGAAATAGGAAATATGCTGTAAGCACAGAATGGCATAAATCCCTACTACTTAGCCTACTTATATCCAGTCCGGCATTAAAAGGTTTTGTCTAAAATCAACAAAAGACCTTGCTGGAGGTTCTTAGTATTAGCAATAGTGTTTTATCAGCGAGGAAAGATCAAGGTCTACCACACAGCCCTGTTTTGTGTATATGTGTAAATAAGAACAGTGTCATTAGAAAGAGGCAATTTATGAGCCAAAAAGCTTGCCCAAAGGCCAAGCAACAGAAAGCTTCCAGTCTGATAAGTACAGGCCTTCCTTATTCAAGTTGTTCTGGCTTTGAGTTTCATGTCCATATCAAATGTGTTGTAAGTACTTTAAGACCAATCCCTGTCTTGTCACTGACCACACGCAGCTTCTTTCCCTGTACTGATGCAGAATAGCCCATGGAGGTAAAAATACATCTTCGTGGTCACATGTCAGTTTTTAGACACTGAGATCACAGAGGACCCTGAATTCCTTGAATTCAAATACTCAGTGACCAAATTCTGGATAAATACTGCAAAGTTTATATGGCAAGTAAAATAAAGGCCTTGCAGCACCTGAAATAATTCCTGAAATTAGCAATGAAAAGAGAGCAAACAGTCCATGGAGTGTTATGGGGAACCTTAATATGGGATAATCCAGACAATTTTAAAATTTACAACTTCTGCACTTCTGATTCTGTTCAGATGTAATTTTGTTCAGCTGACTGACTGCGGGACTACTGATTTATCTGCTACAACCTTATTTGTGATAGAAGACAAATATACAGCTGCTACCTTTGGCAAGTAGAGTACAACTGCTGAAAATTTCCTCTTGTTCCCACACATAGTCTTCTGTACAGTCTCACATGCTATCCCAGTACCCATGCAGGAGATGGGAGATGAACAGTGTGAGACCCCAGAGAATAGAGAAAAATAACAAAAAGCTAAGATAACAAGCACTGAGGGCATTTCCAAGATAGTATCCAGTCAAGACCACTGAAAAAGTTCAACTGGATTCATTGGGTATTATCACTATGAAGTCCAGTATTTATATTTCCAATATGCCTATCTCATTAAAACCAGGGCAAGTGAAGAGATATGTTTCATAATAGTTTTAACTCAAAGTAGTATGATAACTTAAGTGGATGCAAATAGAAGTCTTCACACATTAAAATTAAATTTGAATTTAAAAGTTACTTGTTTAAGAGATTTTATACTTGGAAATAATTTTTACCTTCTAGCCATGTACTTCTGACCTTCAGCAAATGAGGGTAGCATGACAGACACAGAAAGAAAAAGAATCTATAGAGGTATGCTCACCATCCTAACAGTCAAGTCTTGTTTTTTCTTGGTCTTGTAAGGCCCTTTTCAGGACTGGATTATGTGCTGTACAAACTCAGAGGCACTGACAATCTCCTTTCTAAAGAGCTTACATTCTGAAAAAGCTGGTAAAGAGCTTGGGTTCCCTCCTACTCACCCTGCAACAAAGTTCAGTAGTGTTTACAGCAAGACACAAAGACTACCTTCTTTAATTCACACAGCAGGGAAGAAGAGACTTGGCTGACACACAAGTTTATCTCAGATATAATATATTTCCCAAACACTACATTAAAGGTCCTTTCCTAAAGGTCCTGAATGATTCTGTAAGAGGTTTTTTTGAAAAGTACTCATTTTCCATGATTACTGCACACCTGTCTATCACTCATAGCTTTGAGAGTAATTCATCTGCTGTTGGCTATGTATCTCTATTACAAGGCAGTGATCCAGGATTTAGTGCAAAAATAACCTTTGCTAGCAGAAGGTATTCTATAGCTGAACGCTGCAGTAACACTAGCTTTTCACAACCTGTAGTGACATTATTAAAAAAAAAAAAAAAAAAAAAAAAAAGGTTTTACTGAATGACACATAGAAGATACTCACTGTATTCCATCATCATGTGAATCACATGGAAAGGGGCCCAACAGACTGCAAAGAGAAACACCACTGTCACCATCATAACAATTGCTCGCTTCTTCTTCCTGAAATTGCATCAAGACATTCCATACTGAGTCACTAAGAACTGACTGATAGTTAGATGTGTCTCTTCAAGTTAGATCTGTAAATGTGTTCTGATGGTTGAAGATGCAAATAAAACCCTGGAGGAATGCTCAAAAGTATACAGTTCCCTTTGAAACAAAAAACAGAGCATCTAGAAATCTAGCACATCAATTAATACTTTTTATTTCTCTGTTTTAGGAAAGCAATGCATTTGCAGCTGCAACAAGCAATGACATTAGCACATCTTGCAAGGTATTTTTATTCAAGTAGATGACATTTCAATAGTAAGAGATGGGGGGGGTGGGGCAGTATGTGACACAGAAACCACGGGGAACTCTAATAGCTCAAAAAACCCAAGAGTCCCTTCCTAGACCTGGAAGCACTGATCATTTCTGCAGCACCTGATTTCACAGAGAATTTGACAGGGAGTAAGTGAAACTACACCTGCTACGTTCAACCTTTGCTGGTAGGTGAAGTGCTAGAATAAGAGCAAGAAACACACTCCCTGTCTCCACTGTAATATCTCACAAACTCAATGTATACATTAATTTATCATCATCCCCAAACTGATATATAACTCATATAACTACATTTACAGATCCCAAGATGGATCTCTCGCTTGAGCTAAAGGAACAGTACTTCACTGGTACGAGTTACAGGACCTTCTCCCCACTGTGTGAAAATAAATTGTAGACCGAAGATTACATGTCACCTTAACTCCTGCAAGATTGCACCCTTTCAGTTTTGACTTACAAGGGTCTGCTTCCTTAGGCATTTTGTTAGACAAATATCTAAGGAAGACAGTTAAGCTGCTCGTCAGCACTCTCCGAGTTGATACTTAAGGTGATATTCTCCTCAATGAGCAGATTTGTTAGAGGTGTCTAGCACATCAGGCAACAGATCAATTTGCCAAATGAAAGGAAAAAAAAAACATGAGGCAACATTAAGGGTAGCCATATTTAGTGAAAGCAGTTCAGGAAAGTTGGTAATTACTGATTTTCATAATTTTTCAGATAGAGCATCACCATCTGGATAGTCTCACACAAACACATCTGAGAACACTCAAAACTCTTTTGAGCCTGTATCAAGTTAAACTGTACCAAAGTAGCTTTTAAATGAATTCAGATTTCTTCCCCATATGCCAATTTAACTTATAATAGGATCATAAAACAGTGTTCAGTCTCAAAATTATAGAAATAGCTTTCCACAGAACATACAGAAATAACGTGGCAGCACCTTGCCAAGTCATCTTCTAACTCATGGCCTTCATCTTTAAAAACAAGCATTTTGCAATTTATAATATGAAATTTATTGAAAGGGCTTGACTTCCAAGGTGTGGCTACACTATATTTTGAAGAAAACAATCTGTGTAAGTTGCTTTAAATCAAGGTATCTAAGTGTTAAATAGCTAGCTAGCTTTAAAAATCTGGTCTATGCTTGTAGACTTTCCAACAAATAAAGAAAAAAAGATTTAATTTTTTTTGCACTGGTTTTCAAGAACTGTTAGGGAAAAAAAAGCTTTCTAGAAGTCAAGGTTTCAACTGTAGTTTACAAACCTTGATATTTTAGACATTTCACTCCCATGAATGGTTTGAAGAACTGAAGCATCTCCCACTCGTTTCTTAATCCAGAGCTCATAGCCAATTTTAGTGTACAAAAAAAGCATCAACATCAGTGGAAGAAGGAAGAGTATAACAAGAATAAAGGTTGTATAGATCTTCTGATAAATTGGACTGGCCCATTCTTCCAAGCAACAAACATATACTTTTTCATATAGAAAGTCATATTTAACCTGTAACAAGCATAAAGGAGATGAGTCACTACAGTGTTTACCCCACATGTAAAAAACAAGCACATTCAAGTATTCCTTGCTCTTAATACAACTACCAAAATTCAACAGAGAGACTTTTCAAAGTGACAAGATTTTTCCAAGCACTTTTCCACATCAAGCGTTGGGTTGATCCAAGTTGACAAAGCAAGGTCAAGAGATTTTGCACTCCTCCCCAGGTCTTTTTTTTTTAAAAAAACAAGGATTTTCAAAGGAGATGTTTGCTATGCATTTTGTAAGTAAAGATGGGTGTATGCAATCCTCACCTATCAGTCACTTAAAACAAAAAGATTTGTTAACAATCAGAATCACAAACAGCAGTTTCTGACAAGCCCTTTTTTTTTTTATCCTCCCAAAAATGTATGGTAACTCTTTAAACTATAATGGGCAGCTAAATACATTTTAAATTAGGCACATTTCTTCCAAATCTCAGGGAAGACTATGTCATCCTGAAACAGTAATCTAAGCCCCACACTGCTGTGTGCCAGTGCACCTACAAACCAAAAGGAAGACACAGTGGAATTAACACATGTAATTACTGCTCTTTGACATAACTGGGGAGTCCTATTGCTTAGCCTTTCTCATGTTGGCACACAGAACTAAAGTTCCTCTTCTCCTACCCCACTCTCATTTCTTAGGAGTTGATTCATTGCTAAAGGTACAAAAAGATCCAGCAAGGACTGAGTTTAAAAAGTAAATTCCTATTTCACCTAACATACCTCAAGACGTTGCACGTGCCACATAGGTGACCCAACAATAAGCGCCAGCAACCAGACTATGCCTGTAAACAAATACATTTTTTTTAAAATACTTTGTACAACAAGCAGCATACACTTTGGTATGAACAATTTAGCAGCTTCATTGTTAAAAATCAAAGTAGACAATTTAAATAAAGAACCAAGTTTTCTATTTGAGGTACATATCAGTCAACATTCACATCAGTAACAGCATGCTCTTTTGTTACTAGTTTTCTTGCTCTCAAACTACCTTAATTTATTGGTATTCAAGTGTAAAGGCAACTTAATTTGTGGGAGCAGTATTAGGTATGTTCTCTGTGTTACAGTGGAAGGAACATTCACAGCTGTGACATTGCTTTAGCAGTGGTTGTACATTTTGAACCTTTCTTTAAGAAAGAAAGCAAAGGCTGCCAAAGGTTTATCAGTCTTGGTCAAGTAAATCTTTTACTTCAGACTTTAAGTCTATTGTCAGGGGTTTGGCTAGTAATTACTACACATATAGGCACTATCCTTGAGCTATTTTATAATGTTACCAGATTTATCATTAACTCTACCTCTCAATCACTGGTCATACCAGTGCATTCTCTTCTGTCATGCCATCTACACCATTACTGGAAGTGCCCAAGATCTTACCAAGCATCGTGAAAGCTCTTTTATTGGTGTACTGCCACTTCATTTTTAGTGGATGCACAATCCCCTGGTGTCTCTCCACAGCAATGCAGGTCATTGTAAGAATCTCAGTTACAATAGCAGTGGATTGAACAAATGGTACCATCTTGCAAGCAAAGGCACCTGCAATAGTCAGAAAGTAAAGTATGCAACTGTTGCAATTCACAAAAAAGATATTAATGCTAGGCTTCATTACTAAAGTGTTGTTGTGCAAAAAGAACAGACTAATATTCTTAGATTTAACAGCTAAACTGTTAAATCACCTACTTAAGCTATTCATCAAATTCAGATTTCAAGTGATTCTTCCATTGTGCACACTACATCTGCAAAACCAAGACTTCTAACAACATATTCACTTGCTCTGTGTCAGTCTAACACTTATTCCTATTTTGCTTTCAACCAAGTCTTCCATCACCTGTTTTCAAATATGCCAAGTTACAGAGATATTTATTATCTTTTTATCTTGGCAGATTACTCTCCAGTTTTATGAAGATCTTTGTTACCTGTTTAAAAGATTACCGTTTCTGCTGTTGCAAATATATTCCTTCTGCTCATTTAAATACTATATTTGTATACTTTAGCACTTACTGCATCATTCTGCCAAGTTATATATATATAGTCCTCTAAGATGCATAACATAAAGAGAAAAAATTCAACCTCTTCATCATCTTTCCATTCTCCACGTCTCCCTCTTTCCTGATTAACACATTATGTTAGTGACGCTGTTCAAGTTAAATACAACTTCCTGCCCGCATTTTCACAGTTGTATAGGTTCCCATTGTATTTATGCACAGCTAGCATAGATACTCCAGATTTCATTGCTGCTATAGCTTCACAAAAGTACATACTCAACTCCTAACACAGTAGTCATTCTCCATTACTCATCCTCAGGTCCCAACCATCTTAGAAAGTGTGGTGTAAATTATTCTCTCTCTCTCAAAAAAAAAATAATCTTATGTTAACGCCCTTCCCAACCTGCATCTCATTTAATTGTTTTCTGATCATAAGATAATTTTGTATGTCCACATTCTCACAGTTTCCTCACATCCTTACAGTTTAGTATCAGCTACTCACTTCAGTAACTGCTGGGGTTAATTCCCTTAATCACTAATTACACCTTACCCAGATACAATCCGTAAAACTCAAGATAGCCAAAGGAGTATCTAATCCAATTGTAAGTCAAGCTTTAAGACGCTACAGACACCTTAAGCAATAAAAGCACAGAAAAGAGAAAGAAAACAAACAGGAAACTATCAAAACTTAATCCTGCCCTCCACAAAGGGAACAAGGAACAGGGAAACTTCTGTCTGCTAGGCCAGGCTAAAAGCCACTGTAGCTTACAAGAAGGAACTGGTTTGCTACTGGTCTTTATCAATTCTAGCTCCCCCCCCCCCCCCCCCCCCCCCCCCCCCCCCCCCCCCCC